ACCCACCCATTCCATGTTTACAATTCAATGTTGGACATGGAAGAGCATGCAAGGTAAACAGGCGTTTTTATAAGCAGACTTTAATATCTGCTCTACCTATTGGAAAATACTGAAGCGTACCACTGTTGTCTGCAAAACATTAGCATACTAACATTTATAAACAGACTGACTGCAGAAGAGTATTTTAAGGAAAAGATCATTATGGTATTTAATTACTCTTTCTCTAACTCACAGCCCTACTTACTAATCAGATCGCTCTTACTGTCTATTATGTCTACTTGCACAAACAGACCAACCACAACCAAAACCTCAGACAGATCTTGGGAAACTGAAGTGCCCACTAGCTCCTTTTGAACACACAGAATCATGTCTCAAGTACATCTTTAGAGATGGTGGAGAATTTTATTGCTTTCTCTCACCAGATTGATGGTATCAAAGACTTGCACTTCTCCGATGGTTGCACTCCCTGGGTAAGCCAGGTAGCAGTTGTCATTGTTTATTGACAATGCACACAAACCTAGGAAAGGGAAGCAAGAAAACAAAAGGGGTTAGAGAGCCAGAGGCCAGATTTCCACTACACAGTTTTTTAGTTCTACGTACAAATCAAGCTACAAGGTATTACAAGCTTCCCACCCTCAGAAAGCCTTCACAAAACGGGACAAGGCTACATCATCTTAAAGTCAGACAGCAATATATGAACTAATTATAAAAAAAAAAAAAAAAAAAGCAGCTGTACTGTATGTTAAATTAAAAGCAAAGAAAATAGTTATCTTAAAAGGTGCAGCTCCACTGATAAAAAGCTAGAAATTCATTCTAATATCTGAAACCTTATCTGACAAGGGCTGTGTACCAGTTCACTCTTAATTTTCCATGGTTCGTTGACAACCACGTTTGAATAATATCCTTAAGAGGCTTTTCACCAGTTCAGAAAAATAAGATACTCTGGGGGTAAAAAGTAGTTGCATTAAATGGATGACAGGAAGTACTCTATTTGTGATTGTTTGAATGCAAAAAAATCAATCCAAGAAATGGCCCACATTCACTGGGCAACTCGCTACCCTGCAAGAATGAATGTACTTCAAGGTTTGTTAACTATTACCCCCACTGAAAGTGGAGATTAAAAATTTCTGCTAATGAAAACTACAGTTTCTTATAACACAGTTGCATAAGGACAGATCATACATTCCATTTTAGTTTTAAAAATCAAGGGAGCCCCTGATGAAATAGTTTACCTGCAGGGTTGGGAGGAGTCTCCCTGATCGTGTGCAGTACTTTCATGTCTCGTATGTTGTGTATATAAAGAGACTCTTCCAGACATACTATTAGCCTCTGAAAACAGAGAAAGGAAAAATGAGAGAACAAATGATATTGTAACATATATTTATTTATTTCTTCCTAATTACCATAGCCCAAGTAAGCATGTGAAAAACATCAAGAGCATTTTGAAAACAGGTAAACAATCATTATCCAATCCAGTGTTAGCTATTTCTAAAATGGCGGGGAGGGGAGAGAATTAAGATTCAGCTGAGTCTGTGTTTACAGGGGCAACCCTGTACTCCTAGGTGTTTGACTTCCTTCAACTTCACCACAGTGGACTAATTCAAGAAAGGTCTAGTCTCAGAGGCTGTATAATTTGGTATTTTTTGCTAACCAGAAAGACGCACTAATTTATTTAGTTGTGTGTAATAAAATAGTGAAGGATGCATTTATTTATTAGTGATGTTACCCAATGTTTGCATATTAACTGGCATTCAATTAAAATTTACATATTTTTTATTGACATGATCTTAGTCATGTTGGATACACCAGAAAGGGCATCATGTTTTGCATTTAAAACCAAATGTGTAAAAGTAACCGCAGTAAGTGAACTTTATTGTATCCTTTAAGATTTTAAACCTAGATCTTGTTTGTCCTCGCACCTAATTTTTATGCAGTTTGAAGGAGGAAAACAAGCTTTCTTACTTCAACTCCCAGTTAGTTTCTCAACTTGAAAGAATTAGTTGAATAAACTAAATAGATATCTCTCTCAACCCAGAGCAGGGGCTACTGTGAGGTTAGAGCTTCAGCAAACTGGTTCCATGAGACTGTTTAGCAATTCCCACCAGTTCAGAGATGCACATTTCTTTAAGGTTCAGAGAGGTAGCTAGCTTGTGTTTAGTTTGAAGCCAGGCAGAAGGCAGGGCTCAGTGGTACCTTAAACTTTCATAGGCAACAGCTTACTTCATCAGATGCTACAAATAGATTTTCATAGCATCCAAAGAAATAGTCTGTTGCCTATGAAAGCTTATGCCTCTCTGAACCAGTTAGTCTCTATGGATCTGAATACATGTACATCTGGAGCCATTTCCAAAGGGAAATGGCTCCAAAGGACGGCAGCTGGTACACTCTAATTGCTGCGTGAAAGAGCCGAGAATATGAATATAACAACCCTGCTCCAACTTCAACGCTGCTTCATGCAGCGAAAGATGCATTATAGTAAACATACACCTTAACATAGGTTATTAGTGTCAACTAGGTTTATTTTTTAAAAAGATTTAAATAAAAATGTATTTTTGTATTATTATTAAGCCATCCTTAACTACATGCTAGTATTTGTAATATATCGTTTAATTAATACAACCTTTAAACCTATAAAACTCACAACTTCTACAATATTTTGCATATAAAAATCAATGAGCTAGGGAATTCCTGTGAAGTTCCTGAAGTTACTGAACAAGATGCTGTGGGAGGAATTTTTCCACAACGATATTCACCTATATTAAGTTTTTATACCATTCTAGCGCTGGGACCAGGAGAGTCAGAATGAAGAGTTTTAAGTTATTTTTTCTACTGATACAGAAAGAGTTGAGAGAGAAGTGTTCACATTCAAGAGCCATCCTATCAACCCAAACTCACCTGTCTATTGAGTTTGACAGCCAGAATTGTGTTGGAATAACTGTAGTTGCAAATCTCAGTCCCTTTCTTGAAGTGGCAGACTTTCAACTTGCGTGGGGCTTTAAGGCTAACTATGGCCACCAGGCTGCTGGAGAACAGCCTCTCCACGATGCACACGTCTTCCGTGTCAGCTGGGGAAATGGAAGAAGCGTCACATTAAAGCAAAGAATCTAAGGAACACAAAAAGACTGAAGCCAATCCTCAAAAATGGGAAGTGGAATACTCTCTGGGCTTCTCAGTGGAGCTCAGGCCCCACAAATTCGGATTTATAAAGTCCTTTCTTCGAGTGGTACAGATTTTAGAAGTTTCTAAAAGATAAGTTTTTCAAAATACGATATTTACTATTTTTCACAGAGATGACAAACAGACTACCAAACAGTGATATCTACATCTGAGAAAGAAAGATCTTGGATCATGTGATATATAGCAAAATAAGCAAGAAACCACCTGGATAAATCTGTTCTTTAAGTCCTCTCCTGTGACTGGCTTTTTGATGACAAGTGATCTGGAGTTTATGCACAGATTTCTATAAAGACAGACAAGAGTACTGAGCTCAAAGAAGCTGGCAGGCTGATTGTCCTAAAATTGTTTTGACCAGAGCCTTATCGCTATTTTATATGCATCACTTTTCATCTGACAAGCCTGTAAAACATTTCATACAGGAATCGTTTCACCCTTCACTGAACCGTAGCAACTGCACACAAGTAAGCAACAACAGTTTTGTATATATAACATGCACACTACAACAAATACACTGAAAATGAATGGGGAATTTGAGCAATCACCCAACTGAAATCCATACAAGACACTGGGGATGGGGTATGGTGGGAGACCCCAGCAAAAGGAAAGTGCCACCACCAGCACAGTGCGGATGAGCTTGCGGTGGCATTAAGTAAATGCTGATAGAGTTCAAGGCCACCACCACTTCCTACGATGCTCCAATTTTCCTCGGAGGTCTCTCATCCAAAGAGTGTCTAGGTATGATCTCAAACGGCTTGTAAAAACTGACAAGCGCACAGTTCAAGGTGATATGGGAGCATTTTGAGCACAGAGGTAAATCCATTGAACCAGATAGCAGCAATTCCTTCTCCCCTGCTGGATCAGTGGCATTTTCTAGGACAGCTGGCTGTATATATGCATTTAATATTAAAGTGGAAAGGAGAAATAAAGCTGTTAAGTCTCGGAAGATAACAGGAGAGTACTTATCAGTTGCCTACAGCAGTTCTAGAGCCGTAAATAAGTATCTGCTAAAAGTCTGGCGTTCCATTATAGATTCAGCCAAGGCAAGTGACTTGTGCCTTCTTGCCTTGATCCATTATCATCACTCTAACATTTTCAAATCAATATTTGGATTAGTGCAACATTTGATGCTTGCCAAATAGGAGAACTGCCCAAAAGGACTCTTTCTGAAAGCTTCCGATGCATTTGTTGGCCTAATCAAGCAATTGATACTGCTCTCATTAGAAAAACCAGAAGTTCCCTTAGAGACTATTTTTATCTGTCTAACTTGACTCTAGCACATGAATATGCTGCCAATACCTTACACATGAGTTCAGCAGAAATGAAACTTTTAGCTAGTTCATCTGCCTAATTATTTTGGGGAAAAATTGGTTATTTAAGAATTCCATGAATAAAACGTGTATACTTCCTACCACAAGTAGTAGTCTCAATACCAACGCAAGCCACAAGAGAAAAGTTTGTACCTAGTGCTTTTTGTTATCGTGTGCAATTTTAATATGAAGAGAGTCTTTATCCATTAGACTTTCAAAGTGACTTGAGCATCTAACATGGTATTTAACTTATTTACTTCCCCATAGTGATCCAAATGCGTCTATAGGAAGAAGTGTTTTACAGCAAACAGTGAAACTGTTTAAAGCAGACTTGCAAAATTCTATTCAATCACTTTCTGAATCAATGTTTTCCCTCTCCTCCAGAAATGGATGAGAGAACAAAAGTGAAACAAAAATCTGAGCTAATTTAGCCAATAAATTTTAGTTAGGATTTTGCTGAATAATCTAATGGTGACTTTCAAATCTTCTTGATGTCACAAACCACACAGACAGATCATCAACTATTTTCTGCAAAATGTTAATGTCAATTTAAGTTTCACAAACAAATTACTCAGGTAATAATGCATCTAGATTTTAAAATACCGTGGTCACTAATATGAACAAATTTGGCACACTGGACAGAACAAGTTATATTTGTTAGTCGGTGCTGCTGTGCACCTCTAAAGTTCTTGTGATAAACCTCTGGGTGCTGCAGGTCAGCTACGGGATCTGTCACTCTTCCCATGGTAGAGTTGAAGAGCTTCCAGAGTTGGAGGAGCACACGAAGGTTTGGGAGTGGACTTAAGGATACAGAGAAGTAGTGTCCATGGTCACAGAAGGACTGGCCAGAATTTCTAGCAGATGGCAGCATGCAACAAGCAGGAGAGAGCTGCTTCACACTAATTCAACACACATCCTCAGAGCTTTAAAAAAGTAGAAGGGCTACAGAAATTTTCTTGGTCTCAGAGTAAAGAACTAAGACCAGAGTGAGAAATCTGTGCAGATGGTTATATTTAGAGAAAGAAAGATTTTGAGATGGGTTTAATGAAGTTAAACGCTTTAAATATTCAGGGTTCACCTTGGTTTCTTTGCCTTCTCTTAGCAAGAACATCCAATGATATAATCCCTTCCCGGCTGCCAAGTCACATGTGCTTACTACTGAACATCCATTCAAATCGGTGTCAGGCTGCATGTCTGGCTGACCTGAATTAGCCATATTCTTAGATGCACAAGGTAGGCTGCCCAGTACTGAAGTTGTTAACTCCATCCACAGTCCTAATCTTTTCTGTTCCTTATCTACCCCCTCTTACTCCACGCAAACAAAGAAAATTGGAGATTCTGAACACACACACAGGGCAAAAAATGTTAATATGATCTATCAACATCTACAAGGCACAGGAACTTCTAAAACAAACGCAGTAGAAAAATTAGTAAATTAGTGTGTAACAATATGAAAAACCAGTTTTGTTAACGGTTTAAGGAACCTCACCAAAAAAAGACAGACAAAAACAAGACGCATAGTAATAAAAAGACAAGGAGCATCCAACATCTCAGACACAAGCCGGTTAGAACCAGCCAGGACTCTACTCAGCTGTATTTCTATTGCATCTTTAATCCAAGGACATCAAAGCATGTTATAAACTTTCAGTAAGCCTTACAGCCCCTGCACGGGTGGCAAGTATACTCATTTCACAGAGGGGTAAACAGAACTAAAGGACATAAGAGTTGTCCGTGAAGTGACAGCACAGGTCAATTGTGGGAACCAGGAATAAAAAATGTTCCACTCCCCCTAGTCAAAGGCCAGGCATCTGCTGCACCTTGCGTAGTTTGCTCTATTTCACCGTCTATTTAGTTTTCAATTTAACTCTACAGTAAAAAACCCACAAAAGATACTAATGCAGAACGACACAAACCAGCAGAGCATGGACAGTCACTGACTGTTCGATGTCGACACCAGCAAATCCACAGTTACTCTTTTGGGTTATTCTGTGCATTGGGGTTTGATGCTCACGTATGTAATGTTCAGATAATGTCTGGGCAACACATTTAACCAACTGTCTTCCCTCTTCTCCTGACCCCCCACAATTATTTTACACACCCACTGGAAAGACCTTGATTCTCTCAACTTTTCCACTGCAGAAACTGCATGCCCCATGGGCAGAGGTCAAATCAGGCCAACTGGGAGAGCTTGTGGGGGACGGTTTAACGGGGGCCAAAAAAGAGGACGGGTGCAGATTTTGTTGGTTTGGGTAAGGAAAGCTTAAGTTTAGCAGCAGCAAGGTCTCCAATTATTCTCTTTTCACAACTTGTTCTGACAGCAAGGACCGAGATGCAAATAAAATGCCATGATCCCCTTTATTCTGTAACCCGACTATAACAGTGGTCCCTGTCCTAATAATCAGTAAAAATTCCTATCTTGAGACTTCTTCTATGTTAATCACATTATGATATGCAACAACTGAGTATAATGGCAGAAAAGCAGCAGTTCTTTTGGTGATTATTTCTAGACTTTCCCATATGCTACTTATGTCCGCAAAATATTTATACCATATAACCTCATGAATCCGGTATGCTCAAGACCGAGCACTTGCTGGAAATTTGAATATTCCAGATTTCTGAAACCGGAGTGGCAGCCAGTCCCGGAGCAGGTGAGGGGAACGGCAGCAGCAGGCCACATGCAAAGCAGTGCCACGGGGCAGTGGATGGTGGCAACAGCCGCTGTGGGCAAGCTTCCCCCTCTGCTGCTCCAGGACCGGCCGTTGCTACTTCCTGATTTAGTCTATTTTTTAAAAGTGCCTGATTTTTGAAAATTCTGGAATTCTGATATCCAGATTTATGACACTATACTGTACTGCAAAACCTTGGGCAATAAATTGTTTATCTCATACTTGCAATACTTCATAATGAAATGTAAATGCATCTCTGGTGATTATTAACCAGTCTTTAAGAAAACAGTGAAATCTAAAATAGAAAGAAAAGTACACTTACTGCATTCATAGATCTGCTCCAATTTGTCCACAGAAGAAAGAGAGAAGAATTTGTAACCTGACTTACTGCCAACAGCTAAGGACCTGTAAAGAGATGCATCAAATTAGCTAGGAAAAGAAATGAAATAACCCATCAATTCTACCTGACCTAGAATAGGGCAAGATTCAAAGCTCCTTTGGGTTCAGCTCAATAAGAATAGTGGTTAAGAAACCTGACCAAAAATGAATAAATAAAGGACAACCATGAAGTAATTAGTTTCCTGAATGCTGAGGAAGTCGGATAGTTTCACAGCCTTTGTCCTAAGTGGTAAACCCTGTTCCACATCTCTGTCAAGCAGTGCACAGCCCATTTAAGCCTGCAACCTGAATCACGCTAAGGATTTCGTCATCTGGCTCTATACACCAGAATGAAGGTTGTTTAAGCAGTGTAATTCAGTATAAAAATACATAATGACAACATCACCATTAAAAGGTGACCTACAAAGAATGTTCTTTTTTACATTGTTTGTACTATTTTGTTCTTCTTAACAATTTGAAAAAAAAATTTCCCTGACATGTTTTCCTGAACAGCTGGAATGTTAACTTTGGTCTTCCCTGGATTTACTGGAGGACTTGCTGGGGTCAGCATCACATAGGTGTATAGGGGCTGAAATTTGAATCGTTTTCTCAAAAAACCGTAATCACTGATGTTAAGCAGATGTTAAGAGAAGCAGAACAAAGTTTCAAACAACTGGAATAAGCCCTTTCCCATCACCAGTGCTCAATTTTCACTCCTAACTCACAATACCATTTCACTGATTTCTAATTAGGTCTTCAAAGATAGAAAGGATGCAAATATTTAAACCAAAAAACTGTGATTCACCTTTTATATTTTCCTCATACAAAGTAGAATTTTCCCCCTTGTTCCTCACTTCTAAATTAACCAGAGAGAACGAAACTAACTCATAAAAGTAGTTGTACATAAACACACGACTAGCTTTGTAGTGCACATTCATAACCAAATGTATGAACGTTTGGAAATTCACTTTGTACACTCTTGCAACCTAAATTATTACAAGTCACATGACCTCTTTCACAACTGATATAATCACCTGGGCTTGAAGAATACCTGTGCTACCACTCTGAACCCTCACCTCTGATTATAATTAAGCAAACTGACAATTAACTTACTACTGCTCCTGCTCTCATTATACTCTTTTCTTTACAGGCTTCAGAAGTGAACCATTCTCAGTTTCAGGGATCCCAGAAAAGGTTAGATACCAGCTCTGAAACGTCAAAATGAGCCATCTTTACTCCTTTCATCTCCCAAGCTATTAAACAGATTTACATCCATCTTTATATAGAATCAGACCATAAGTTTAAGTGGTACAACTTCAGTTAAGATGACAAACTGTATTTCCATTTTAAAAGTATCTAAAGCTTTCTTAAACTGGAAGTTGAGAGCTCAGGGAAAGATAGCAGGGTTAGTAACATTGAGAACTAGCAATAATCTTATCAAGTTAGTATGCCTGGTTTAATACAGGACACTACCATTTTTCCATGTGTACAGATGCCCATTAAAAAGACACTACAGAAGATGGTTGTGTTGCACCAATGTTTCACAGTTCACAGGAACTCTCCCCTCCCAATAATTCCATCTTTGCTGGCATTTGGAGTGGCTGTATTTCCTGATCCTTTAAAGAAGTTTAAAATGCGATAAAACAAACAGAATCATGCGTTTTCAACTTTCCAACCAATACCAGTTTGAAGAGCGGGGTTGTGGCTAAAGTAGCTCCTGCTGAAAGCTTGTGGATAGGCAACATACACAATGGCAGGAAAAATAAATCACCAAAATTAGAGATGGAAAAGCAAGCCACAGAATTCCTTCCCCAATCAACAGATAAGCGCCTAGGGTAGCCAGTTTCTATTACTGCTTTCTGTTTTCACACCCAGCAAGGGGAAAAGAAAGTTCATTAAATGCTTCTCCACACAAAAGTCTTAAGTATTCACTGCAGGGTTTCCACATATTCAGCACAACTCACCTGGTTTTAGCAGGTGATCTGCAGAGGGGTCAGCACTTGGCACATGTCCCCATATTCTTCATCACAAATTAGGAAGAACTTAAAGGGTTTCCATTTAATTTGTCTTGCTTTAATTTGTCTCCCTGGGGAGAATTTACCCCCAAATTCAAATCACTTGGACCCATAGGTCTGAGAGAACTCCAGCAGGCAGCACTGCTTTTAATAAATGGGTTAGTTAAAACTGTTTTCCTACAGCAGTGGCTCTCAACCGGGGCGCTGTTAAACCTCTCAGGGTACTGTCGTTGTTGTGGCCAGATAAAAAGTGTCCCATGTGCAGGGCTGTGGGACATGTGCACACTCCTCCTGCATTAGGACTCCCTGGTAAGCCCAAAGCAGGCAGGAGAGCTTGGTCATGGCTGCAGCCCTTCCTAATCTGACCTTGCATGGTGTCCCCCAGAAACAGAGGCATGTGTGATAGGTAGAAATGCCCTGCCAGCCTCTGTTTCCTAGAGGAGCATGGGAAGGCCAGACCACCAAGGGCTGCAGCATGAGGGAGCTCCCCTGCCTGCTTGAGGCTACCTGGAAAACCCTAACACAGGGGGAATGCATGCATGTAGTGCTTCACTGGCCACAGCAGCAACCCAGTTGAGAATCACTGCTGCAGATGGGTCTGGTGGGCAGAGCTGCTGCTGTTCCCCTGCAGGACCCTTCCACTCTAACAAACCTCACTGGCAACATTTAATAGTATTCTACTTGTTATTTTGCTCTCTTCCATCCTATTCTTACTCCTCCTTATAACCCCCGAAGGCCGTCTTAAACCAACTGTCACCCCTCATTTGTCTTTACACCCTTTCTATTCTTGTAGGTGGTTGACAGTCTTCTGCAGCGGTATGTGTAGTATTGCCTGTTTTGTTTTCCTAACCTTTCCACAAGCTCCTGGAACATTTGTCTCACCAGTTTTCATGGTACTAGAGAGCTCAGTGCCGACCCAGCGTTCTTAAACAACACTTTGGGCCCCATCCAATGCAATATCCTACAAGACAAGCACTTGAAAAAAGTGTTTCAGCACATCATCCATCTTTACAGCTTGTTATACGGAAGACAATTAGATGCCTCTGTCGCTACCACTTAGAAAAATCCACCTCCACAGATGGCACAAAAATATGTAACCTGAAATTGTTTTCTAGAGCCGTATCAACGCAATCCTGTCTCTCTCAAGAAGGCTGAACAGGACTCCCTAACAAGACCATGTTCACTGGCTGGAGAGGCTGCTCTTGAATCATTCCAGGCACCCTTAACTCTGTCCCTTCATACAACCTGCTTTGGTTCTGTAGAGCACCGAACCCGTGGCATCGAAGCCTGACTCCAGCCATCAAATCCAGGTTGTGCAAGTGACAGTGCAAAGCGTTAGGTGATTGGGCCCGAAGTTACTTCCTTCTTATATTGAAGAAGGTCTCTGAGAAATTCCTTCCAGCTAAATGAGTTGGCAGGAGGATAAACACTTTTTAGCAATGCCTACTAGTCTACCAGGTAAGTTACTTGGTAACCTGCCTCAACCTACCCAGTCAACATAACAGTGGTTCTCAACCAGGGGTGCTACACCATAACGGTGTTTGAATGCAGGAGTGTCCCGAACCCCAAAAGGTTGAAAACCACTGGCGTAATGCTACAGCCACATTTACTGCTCCAACCTGTTTACCAACTTTACATTTTGAGGGGTGGAAAAAAGACATCCTTAGTGTTGAAAGGCTTAAAAATCAATGAAAAGCTAGTGCAACAGCAGCATTCGAACAGCTAGGACATGGAAGTTTATCAGCTAACTGTAGAAGGCACTTCAAACAAACTGTTTAAAATCACGTTAACATACATTTAGTTTCAGTTGCTAACGAACATTTTACACAGCCCTCTGGGATATCTCTCTGCCCTTCAATTATAGTGAGAGCAAACAATACAGTTTCCAAAACATTTGGTATAACCTCCAGTAAAACCATGGTCTCTTGGTAGTTATAAAGGATTAAACAACAAAACCAAAGACGACCACAAGCAGAAATCCTTTGAGATCCTCATAACGTATGAAAAAGCAGCAAAAGGAGGGCATGTTTACAGATCACTTTTAATATATAGTGACAAGTTGTGTAGTCAAACTTGTGACTGTAACAATAATTGATTTCTAGGCACCCTGTCCAAGCAAACACTTGCAGAATGGCCAGATTTGTACACAAACCACATTAATAATTTCCTTACTGGAGAGCTGCAGTGTTTTATGAAGCAGCAGGATGGAGAAAGTTAAGACAGAAAAATCTATCTTCAGAACTCAAAGCAGAGGACCATCTCTGGACAGGATTTCAGAAGTACCCACTTCCACTTCTTACCACACTGGGACACTCAAGAAACATTTAACATGAGACTCATTCTCTGGTGTCCTCTCCTGAAGACACTGCAGGAGAACAATGGACTGCAAAAATACGGTTTCTCCCAGTTTTCTTCTGGCCTCAAGACACCTTGGATTGGAAGGAAAACTGGAACTTTGAGAAGAGAAAAGAGGAAGACCAACTGAACCAGGGTAATAAAGGAAAAGATGCAAATATTGAGGATTCCCCAACAGGTACAGGTATACAAAAAAAAGATGAGACCCACATGTGGAACAGCAAGGGTAGTATTGGACAACTTTGGTTTATATGTTGAGCATCAGCTAGCCTGGACATGCCATAATGTCAAAAATAGAAACTTGCTGAGGATATAAAATCATAGGGAGTTAAGACAAAAAAGACAAAGCTAACACATCAGTAGACAAGGTTAGACTTACAGGCTCATGTGATTCAGTACAGTAATGAGCTCAGAGACAAAGATGCTTGTGATGGTGCCTGTCAGCATTAGTATAGTTAAGGTTATAACAGCATTTTCATTACAAACCCTTACTTTAGACTATTTTTTCATATAAAAAGAAAAAAAAAATCAACCCCAGATAAAGACTGGCATCACCATCTTAGTTCAAATGGAAGGGGCTGCATTTAAAAAAAAACAACCCCAAAAGAAATGTAATTAAGATGAAGCATTTTAGAGATGGGTTTTGTGTTATTATTCCACAACAAGTTTTCTTTTGG